CCATTACCAACCCGCCAGCTGGCTGGAAAAAATTATTTTTGTATATATCCTATCAAACAACCGCCAATCAAACTATTTAAAAATGCTAAAAACCCCGGGGGTCCCGGGTTTTAACTGTAGTATAAGGGGAGTAAAAAGCTCATAGTAAAAGGGAATACGCCGTAAGGGGTTTTTAAAAGGTTGGGTGAGACTAGCTCCATCATGTAGAAGAAAGCTTTAGCTGACAAATTTAATCAATCGTAAACATGTCTATAAAGAATTAGTTTCTTTGAGGAAAAATGCTTCATTTGGAGTTGTGACCCTTTGAAAATAAAGTTCGTTCGTTCGTTCGTTCGATGACTGTTTAAAAAAGGACTGCTGTAAACCTGTTTTTCAGTCCTGTTGTGTGAAAGTGTTTGGAAGGGTCGAATATAACACAGGCCTGCCTGCCCAATTTATCACCATTTAAAAATAAAGTTTCTTCGTTCCTTCGTTCGTTAGTAGATATTTCAACCGCTGTTGTTCACTCGAACAAATACCACACATACTTTTTTTCTCACGTGGTTTTCAAGAGTCTATAACATTGTATGTCTTGCTGCTCAAAATCTGTGTGTTGACAGAAAGGTTGCCTTACAGGGGGTTTCGTGTCTGTATGGTATGTTAGTCTGTCTCAATGTTCGGCTGATATATTCTTCTCTCTCTCTTCTCTCTCTCTCTCTCTCTATCTAAATATATCTCTCTACTCTCTCTTTCTCTATATTTTTTATATATAATCTATATTACTATAATATAGATATATATATATACAGATTAGATATATAGAGATATGTTCTCCCGAGATCGCTGTTGACTTGCTGTTCTGTGATATCTGCCTGTGTATACTTTTTGTGTACTGTTGTAGCCTTGTCACCACCGAAAACTATACAAGAGAACACATTTCTTATCGCATTTGTGTACTTGTATTTGTGATGATTCAGCCATGTTTCGGTGTGTGGTAGCAGACAGCAATAACCTATTCCTTATCCAGGCGTCACTTGTAGATTGTTTTATTGTGTGAACCGTGCCAGATGCAGCGTTGTTACCTTGAGACAACTCTTAGCCAGTAAACAGTGGAAGGGCACTTGTCGACGCCATCAAACGTGTTTAGCATTTAGCGCTATATCTATTTCTGAAGATTGTTTTCTCTCCAGTGTCTGTTCTGTCTCTAGTCATTTTGTGTTTTGTCTCCAGCTTGTGATTTGATTCCAAATTGTGTTCTGTCTCCAGTTTGTGATTTGATTCCAGCGTGTGTTTTGTCTCCAGTTTGTGATTTGATTCCAGCTTGTGTTTTGTCTCTACTTTGTGATTTGATTCCAGCTTGTGTTTTGTCTCCACTTTGTGTTTTGTCTCCAGCTTGTGATTTGATTCCAGTTTGTGTTTTGTCTACAGTTTGTGTTTTGTCTCTAGCTTGAGATTTGATTCCAGCTTGTGTTTTGTCTCCAGTTTGTGTTTTGTCTCCAGTTTGTGATTTGCCTCCAGCTTGTGTTTTCTCTCCAGCTTGTGTTTTGTCTCCAGCTTGTAATTTAACTCCAGCTTGTGTTTTGTCTCCAGATTGTTTTGTCTCCAGATTGTTTTGTCTCCAGTTTGTGTTCTGTGTCTAGCTTTCGTATGGTTTCTAGTTTGCTGTCTGTCTTCAGTGTTTATTTTTTTCCCAGTTTATGGTTTTTCTCCACCTTGTGTTTTGTCTCCAGTTTGTCGTCTGTCTCCAATTTGAGTGTCCTCTACAGTTTGTGTTTTTCTCAAGATTGTGGTCTGTCTCCAGTTTGTGTTTTCTCTCTAGTTTGTGGTTTGTCTTTAGTTTGTATCCTGTCTCCATTTTGGGGTCTGTCTCCAGTTTGGGGTCTGTCTCCAGTTTAGGGTCTGTCTCCAGTTTGGGGTCTGTATCCAGTTTGTGGTCTGTCTCCAGTTTGGGGTCTGTCTCCAGTTTGTGGTCTGTCTCCAGTTTGGGGTCTGTCTCCAGTTTGGGGTCTGTATCCAGTTTGGGGTCTGTATCCAGTTTGTGGTCTGTCTCCAGTTTGTGGTCTGTCTCCAGTTTGGGGTCTGTATCCAGTTTGTGGTCTGTCTCCAGTTTGGGGTCTGTATCCAGTTTGTGGTCTGTCTCCAGTTTGGGGTCTGTATCCAGTTTGTGGTCTGTCTCCAGTTTGGGGTCTGTCTCCAGTTTGGGGTCTGTATCCGGTTTGTGGTCTGTCTCCAGTTTGGGGTCTGTATTCAGTTTGTGGTCTGTCTCCAGTGTGGGGTCTGTATCCAGTTTGTGGTCTGTCTCCAGTTTGGGGTCTATCTCCAGTTTGGGGTCTGTCTCCAGTCTATGGTCTGTCTTCAGTTTGGGGTCTGTCTCCAGTCTATGGTCTGTCTCCAGTTTGTGGTCTGTCTCCAGTTTGTGGTCTGTCTCCAGTTTGTGGTCTGTCTCCAGTCTGTGGTCTGTCTCCAGTTTGTGTTCTGTCTCCAGTCTACGGTCTGTCTCCAGTTTGTGGTCTGTCTTCAGTTTGTGGTCTGTCTCCAGTTTCTGCTTTCTCTCCAGTTTGTGGTCTGTCTCCAATCTACGGTCTGTCTTCAGTTTGTGGTCTGTCTTCAGTTTCTGCTTTCTCTCTAGTTTGTGGTCTGTCTTCAGTATATCCCAACGCTGCTTCCTCATGTAACAGGGACTAAGAAAAAGAGATTGGTTTCAATATTCGTGTAATATTACCTCATAACACCAATTAAGTGTCCCTATTCGTGTTGCCGCTTTGTAATACGGGAATGCTGGATTTGATTCTAGCTGCAGGTGGCTTGGCAGCAGACCGTTTTGCGTTGGCTTAGTTAGTGGTATTGAGAGTCGATCATCAAGACGCAATGGCAAACTACAAAACGTAAACCTGCCTAGATCAACCACAACAGCCAATAGAAGGCTGCTATTAGTTCTTCAACGTCCTGCAAAGGATACGTGTTGCTGCTGGAGTCTGACGCTTGTGACTGCTGTCAGCGGTAATTGTTTCGTTTGTATACTACATTGTGCTTGTTTTTAGATCGTATCTCAGGAGGTCGATTACAAGTATGGATAATGGGAGAAACGTATAGCAAATAATCATATTGCTTAGTGTCCGTATCATTGTAAGAAAAACAGAAACAAAAGGATAATGATAATAATAATGATTATGGAATTGATACTTTTTTCTTCTTTTTCTTTTTGTTCTTGTTCTTCTTGTTCTTCTTGTTTTTCTTGTTTTTCTTGTTCTTCTTGTTCTTCTTGTTCTTCTTGTTTTTCTTGTTTTTCTTGTTCTTCTTGTTCTTCTTGTTCTTCTTGCTCTTCTTGTTTTTCTTGTTCTTGTTCTTCTTGTTCTTCTTGTTCTTCTTGTTTTTCTTGTTCTTCTTGTTCTTCTTGTTTTTCTTGTTTTTCTTGTTCTTCTTGTTCTTCTTGTTCTTCTTGCTCTCCTTGCTCTCCTTGCTCTCCTTGCTCTTCTTGCTCTTCTTGCTCTTCTTCTTCTTCTGCTGCTGCTTCTTCGTCTTCTTCTTCTTCTTCTTCTTCTTCTTCTTCTTCTTCTTTTTCTTCTTCTTCTTCTTCTTCTTCTTCTTTTTCTTCTTCTTCTTCTTCTTCTTCTTCTTCTTCTTCTTCTTCTTCTTCTTCTTCTTCTTCTTCTTCTTCTTCTTCTTCTTCTCCTTCTTCTTCTTTCTTCTTCTTCTTCTTCTTCTTCCTTCTTCTTCTTCTTTCTTCTCCTCCTCGCCTCTCCTCCTTCCTAATCCCGTTCCCTTCCCCTCTCCTCCCCTCATCTTTCTCCTTCTCCTCCTCACTCCTACTTCTTATGCTGCTGCTTCTTTTTCTTCTTCTTCTTTCTTCTTCTTCTTCTTCTTCTTCTTCTTCTTCTTCTTCTTCTTCTTTCTTCTCTTCTTCTTCTTCTTCTTCTTCTTCTTCTTCTTCTTCTTCTTCTTCTTCTTCTTCTTCTTCTTCTTCTTCTTCTTCTCCTTCTCCTCCTCCTCCTTCCTAATCCCCTTTCCCTTCCCCTCTCCTCCTTCTTCTCCTTCTCCTCCTCCTCCTTCTTCTTCTGCTGCTGCTGCTTCTTTTTCTTCTTCTTCTTCTTCTTCTTCTTCTTCTTCTTCTTCTTCTTCTTCTTTTTCTTCTTCTTCTTCTTCTTCTTCTTCTTCTTCTTCTTCTTCTTCTTCTTCTTCTTCTTCTTCTTCTTCTTCTTCTTCTTCTTCTTCTTCTTCTTCTTCTTCTTCTTCTTCTTCTTCTTTTTCTTCTTCTTCTTCTTCTTCTTCTTTTTCTTCTTCTTCGTGCGTGTGGGCGGAAACATTTGTCGACGAGACATCACCTACTGATTTTGGTAGACCCCTGCTGTATATGCTCCTCTGTTGAGTTTCTACTTATCTTATTATGTTCATGATAAACTATATTATGTTATCAATCGACGTCACTGCAAATGTGGACATTGCCATATATCTTCAATGCTCCCATGCAGGTGTCATCTTAAAGAACCTCTACAGACTTATTGCATTGTCAACAGAAGACACCCAAACGTTTGTGCTGAAACGTCCCCGGAAGATTCCTACAGTAAAATGGACCAAGAAGGGGACACATTTTGACATTGTTCCCGATTTCGAGGGGGACCGGCTCTAAAACAGCACTGTTGATAGTAAACTCAAATATGTTGGCTTTAACAGTCGCGATAATGGTTTGGAGATAACAGTAGCCATAGAAGAAGAGGCAGAGAAGAACCAGCACGATGGCGAACAGAGGATTTCAAGGACATTCTGGCATGCAACATAGGCAAGTTGGCATGGCTTTAGGTAGCCTTCCGGCATGCAACATAGGCAAGTTGGCATGGCTTTAGGTAGCCTTCCGGCATGCAACATAGACAAGTTGGCATGGCTTTAGGTAGCCTTCCGGCATGCAACATTGACAAGTTGGCATGGCTTTAGGTAGCCTTCCGGCATGCAACATAGACAAGTTGGCATGGCTTTAGGTAGCCTTCCGGCATGCAACATAGGCAAGTTGGCATGGCTTTAGGTAGCCTTCCGGCATGTAACATAGACAAGTTGGCATGGCTTTAGGTAGCCTTCCGGCATGTAACACAGACAAGTTGGCATGGCTTTAGGTAGCCTTCCGGCATGTAACACAGACAAGTCGGCATGGCTTTAGGTAGCCTTCTGGCATATAACACAGACAAGTTGGCATGGCTTTAGGTAGCCTTCCGGCATGTAACACAGACAAGTTGGCAAGGCTTTAGGTAGCCTTCCGGCATGTAACATAGACAAGTTGGCATGGCTTTAGGTAGCCTTCCGGCATGTAACATAGACAAGTTGGCATGGCTTTAGGTAGCCTTCCGGCATGTAACACAGACAAGTTGGCATGGCTTTATGTAGCCTTCCGGCATGTAACACAGACAAGTTGGCAAGGCTTTAGGTAGCCTTCCGGCATGTAACATAGACAAGTTGGCAAGGCTTTAGGTAGCCTTCCGGCATGTAACACAGACAAGTTAGTAAGGCTTTAGGTAGCCTTCCGGCATGTAACACAGACAAGTTGGCAAGGCTTTAGGTAGCCTTCCGGCATGTAACACAGACAAGTTGGCAAGGCTTTAGGTAGCCTTCCGGCATGTAACACAGACAAGTTGGCATGGCTTTAGGCAACCTTCTGGCATGACATGATGAAAGCGACATTTTGCAAAAAACTCGCTACAGGATGATGATAGTGTCGTAAAAAACAAACTCACGTCCTGTTGGCTTTATTGTACTTAATTGTTACTGTACAATGCACATGATCAGGTAATAAATCATGCCATTTATTATTTGCGTCATCTTTTTAAAATATATATCATTTCCTAGGTCACACAATCATAGTGCTGACATTACCATGTGTTACTCTGTGCAGGCACATGTTAAAACTCGGATCGTCTAAGCCCTGGCCAGAAGCAATGAAACAAATAACCGGACAGGAGAAGATGGATGCCCAACCTTTACTTGACTACTTTAAGCCATTGCTAGTTTCTCAAAGCACAAAATGACAAAGACTTTGGATGGGAACCCAACTGCCCTCTCCATTTTCAACAAACAAGGACATTTAAATATATTTTGCTCATTACCAGTCCCCTAAAAAAGTTTACTTAGACTAATTTCTGTAATCAGTTTACTTTTCTTTCTGTAATTTTGTAATAAGTTTATCTGTCTATGTTGAACTTCTCTAGGATGTGTGTGTGTGTGCCTTTTAAGTCTGCTTTATTTAGGTAATTTCTCTATAGCTCGCTGCCTTTGGTCTTTTCCAAATTCCGTCTTTCATTGTCTGTCTTTATAGGAATAAGCCTGAATCTAATCTCTCCCAGGTTCTGTGTCATTGTTGGTGTCTGTCACGTCACGTTTGCATCTTTATAGAGTAGCCTTTACCTTCCCGCAGAAGTCTCCCTGTTACCATTTGACTATACAGGCGAACAGTAGCAATACCGAGCCACGTTATAGACACATGTTTTTTCTTCTTCATCTGGTGACGATCACCTCCCTTCTACACCCGATTCTCGTTTTCTTGTTTCTTCCTCCGATACTGGAGGTTCGAATTTCATCCTGACTCAATGCCCTACTTTTCCTCTTTAAGTCTTTGAGTCCCAAGGAACGCATCATACTTTCTTAGATTCCTACCTAGAAGCCCAGTGAACGCACGATGCGCCGATTTTATTGCTTTCTTTACTACCTCATGGGCCTGTGATGCTAAACCCCCTGGGACTCAAAGAGTTAAGTTCAGTTTCGTCCACACCCTCTGCTCATTCCCTGCCGAATCAGTCTCTCCAGGTAGGGGAAGATACTCTGTTCTGTGACAGTGTTCAAGTGATCCAAAAGAGCTGTTATCCCGCCCGCATTATTGTACAAAAACCCGCAGCCCAGAGGACGACAGCAGCCAGTCTGTTATCTTGCTCATTGCCTTGCTCACCTAAATATCCTGGGCAGAAGGTCCACAACTTCTCCTGATCTATGTCGTCTGAAGCCATGAAAAGATAACAATGGCTAGCAGCAAACATCTAATATTACTTATATTTAGGTCTCTTTGAAGTAAAACAAAACAAAACAAATTAAATCAAATAAAAAAAAAAATTAACTCGTTGTTTTTATTATCATTGAGGGGTGTCTTAATTGTCACTGACAGGTTTTTGCATTGTCGCTGACTGGTGTCTTCATTGTCACTGATGGATGTTTTAATTGCCACTGACTGATTTCTTCATTGTCACTAATTGACAGGGGTCGACTCGGGTATGGGACAGTTCAGTGTGATGATAGTAGATTAACGATATCATAGTCTACTCAATGTCTACATTGTCACTGACTGGTTTCTTCATTGTTACTGACTCATGTCTTCCTTGTCACTGACTGGTTTCTTCATTGTCACTAACTGAAGTCTTCATTGTCACTGAATGGTGTCCTCATTGTCACTGACTGGTTTATTCATTGTCACTGACTGGTTTCTTCATTGTCACTGACTGATGTATTCATTGTCACTGACTGATGTCTTCATTGTCACTGACTGATGTCTTCATTGTCACTTACTGGATTCGTCATTGTCACTGACTGATGTCTACATTGTCACTGACTGATGTCTACATTGTCACTGACTGGATTCGTCATTGTCACTGACTGATG